ATTTTCTCACGTCTCACCTGGATGCACCTGAGCCCACAGCACCACTTGCATCCCCAGCAAGAGCCAGAGCCGATGCCAAACTACACCAAAAATCAAAATCTCACTGCTCGAACCGTTTCCCACCCGCGGACGTGGGCAAGGAGATGACTGACAGCTCTACCGTGCCACACAGTCACCGGTGGGACAGGAAGAGTCAAAACCCAGCTTCATTTTAAACCTGCATGAATCTACTCCCTGTTTGACGGCAGGGTCTCACCTCTAAATCTCCTCAGGGAATAAAATCAACCATTCAAAGGCATAAACACGTTGGCATGGGTACGGGGTGAAGCAAAAAGGCTGCAATTACACTTTTCTCACAACAACTCCCCCCCTCCCCGGCTCTGCTCTTTGCTCCCCCCACCCCAGCCTCAGCGGCGGTGGGCCCTGCTGAAGAAAGCTCTGGAAAACACAATCGCGGTGAACCCCTCCTCGCAAATGTACGTGCAGGGGCAGCCGCCCCATCACTTTTGTTTCGCATTCCCAACGCGTCCAACCCCTTCACCCGGAGAGAAATAACAACAGCGTCTCGCGGTGAGGAGTTTCGCGCTCCGAATCCCAAATGGGGGTCTCTTCCCGGGGTGAAACCAGGGCACCTCTTTTTAGCCCTGGGGGGGGGGTGATGGGGGCGTGGGACAGAGGGATGTGCCATTATCCCCCCCAACCCTGGCGCGCTGCGTTAAACATGGCAGCATCCCAAGGCTGCCCCACCCAAGCGGCCTAGGACGCTTTGTCTTGGGGATGCTACCGGCCTGGGGATGCTGTGTGGGACCTTCCTGCTCGTGGGGTACCCCACTCTCGCGTGGGACCCCCACCTGCATGTGGGACCCTCGGGATGCAGCGATGCAGGTGGAATGTCGGTTCCTTCGGGTTCGTCGCACGGCGGGCGGGTTTCCGGGCTCTCAGGGATGCGCTTGGAAAAGAGCCGCGGCCACTTGCACGTCCCGGGGGAGCCACCCAAACCTCCCCCTGCCGAAAGCCAAGGTGGTGCTGGATGTCTCTGAATTTTGGGATGCGAGGAAGAGCAGGGGGAGCAGACACCCAAACCTGCTCCAAACCCACTCGGCAAAAAGGACCCCCGTGGATTCACTATCCGCACAGCACCTTCCCACACCCCATCAATGCCACTCAAGTGGGGAATTTTAAGGACACACACACACACGGGAAGGACATCAGCAACCCCCCCGAAATGCTCCAAAACCGAATTCACCCACCTCCCAGAGTGGGATATACGACCCGGGGATGGGCAAGAGGGTACCGGAGAAGGGCTAGCGAGGAGATGGGGGTCGGGATGGGTCGGGGGGAGAGGGGTGGGGATGTGTCACCTGTAGGACGAGCTGACCCCCGCCGCCACCTCCTCCTTGATCTGCCTGTTGAGAGCATCGGCGGCCGCCCGGCCCCTGCCCGCCTCCGGCGGCTGCCCGCCCGCCTCCTCCGCCTTCTTCCGACCCTTCTCTCTCCCATCCCCGGCCCGCATCCCTTTGGGATGCTCATCCTCCACCTCGGGGTCTTCCTCTTTTTTTTCGGCCCCGGGTAACACCTTCCGTCGCTTCTCCTGAGCTGGTTTCTCCGGAGACCCGCGGTCCAAGGCGAGGACGGGGGAAGGTCCCGGTTTGGGGATCCAGGGATGGTCCCCCCTCTTGGGGATGGGCCAGGCACGGAAATCCTTCTGGTACTGCGTCTCCTTCTCGAAGGGAGTATCCGAGGGCTGGTACTCGCTCTTGGGTTTGCAGCTCGGCTCCGGTCGCTGCACCTTCCAAGGTTTGTAGTCGTGTCGCATCACCGAATCCGCCGGGGGAGAGGAATGGGGGACCGGCCCGGGTCGGGTAGGACCGGGAACGGCTTCCCCCCCTCCATCGCCAGCGGGCTGAGTCTCGATGGGGGCGGCGGGGC